CAACCTTCGGGTACACAGATGGTGTGCCTGGAGACGATGAAGGCCATGAAGGCCATCAAGGTGATGAAGCTGATGGAGGTGACCGCCTTGGGAGCCATGAAGGCCATGAGAGCCATGAAGGCCACGAGGGCCATGAAGGCCATGAGGGCCATGAAGGCCATGAGGGCCATGAAGGCCACGAGGGCCATGAAGGCCATGAGGGCCATGAAGGTCGTGAGGGCCATGAGGGCCACGAAGGCCATGGAGGGGGAGAAGGTCATGAATCTGAAGACTATGTCGAGGTGGAGTGTCAAGAGTATGGACTTGTAGATCCGTGGACTCTTATCAAGCGCCGAAGGCTGCGCTGATCACTGCGTTGATCCTAGAGGGGTGGATTTTTGAAAAAGGTGTGAGTGAAGGGTTGGCTGCAAGGGATGGCAGGACATCTGTCCGCCACGTGCAGGGCATTTTTGCTCGCATAGCGTCATTATCACCATGTTTGAACTATTGTGTGTCATTGCAGGTTCATTCATTGTGTTGTCATGAGCATTGCGTGATTGCATGTCATGAGCACTTCATGAGTTCATCCGCTTTTGCGAGTTCATGAGCATTGCATTGCATGATTCAGTTTCATGACCGCCAAGGCTGGGACGTTGCCTACATCAACCCAAAGGAGTTGGGAGAAGGGTTTGGGAGGGTTGATGTTGGTATGCATTTATAATGTATATATATCCTATACGCACCACTGTTTTTCAGCTTCACCATGGAAGGGCTTTAACGTTCCATTCAATCCCATGAGAAGTTGAGTCGAGAGGGTGGTGAGGTTGGTAGTGTGGAGGCTTTGTTGATTGTATTGCAAGTTCACTCCATGGGGAGTTGTTGGCCTGGCAAGTGTGTTTTGGGTTGGGATTAGATTGTATGCGTGGGTCTCGGCCTCAGCCTTCGTGGGAATGCGCTGCGTGCAGGAAACCTGTTCGCTACGCCCTCATGGCAGGGCACGCTCGCCAATGCGCAGGGCATGCTCGCGCAAAGGCTCACTGCAGGTGTGGTTATTCGATGTGTTGTTGTAGTCAGCTTGAAATGAACCGGCGCAATAGTCTTCAGCAATGATGGTGGATGTTTGATGATGCAAAGGTATAGTTGGCTCATGATACGAGTGAAGCAGTCATTGATAGTCATGGTAGAGTTGGCTCATGATACGAATTGGATTCATGGTACAAGCTCAGGAGTCATGGAGGATTAGTGTACACTTGGCTCATGATGCATTGTTCGAGCGCCCTCGCCTTTGCAGTGGTGTGAAGCGTTGTCAGCCTTGTGGTGTGGAGCGGGGTGGCCTTCAACCGACCTTGCATTCAGTCAATCCATGACATGTTCTTGACCCAGAAAGCTTGCAGTTGCGATGTTTTTTTTTTTACGGGTTAATCTTTTAATAGGTGAAAGTACGATATGTGTAATGCTTTTGGACATATTATGCAATAGAATAAGACATTCTGTAAGCCTTGCCCACAGAGTATCACACTGTGGAGTTCAAATACTAAATACTGTAGCATGGAGTGTCATATTCTGCAAACAGTAGCACGTCAGGTTGCATGGAGTTCGTTTGTTGCTGAGGTGTGTGGGATGCAGTCGAACGCATGCCCGCTGGAGGCATGGGCAGGGCGGTTGCTCGCCGTAAACGCAGAGCTCGCATACGACAGCCTATTTACAGGAAAGAGCTGAAGTCATTTCTGCACCTGTTAGGAAACAAAGGCTGAGAAACTCAAACACATATCGGTGTATATATCGTGCGAGTTCATTCAGGCTTGAATTGTTCTTTGACATGTGGGAGTGACCTGCCAAACGCAACGCAGTCTGAAACACATTCTTTTTCAGTCACGGTGGGCAGGACAGGCGTCCGCCCATATGCAGGGCTATAAGAAGCTCGCACGTGACCGCGGTTGTTGTGTTTCGCATGCGTGGCTCGAAGAGTGGACACGATTACCGCCTTTGTTGTGTCCAGGGGATTGGGTGTCATGAATGCAGCTGTGAAAGAGCAGCTTGATTCTCTTCTCAAGCAAGCTGCTGAAGGCTCTTTGAGCAAGACCATGCAGAGTGTTTACTCGTTGCTGAAAGACAGCGGCTACATGTATCGTGCCAGGGTGTGTTCCCGCTTTGTTGGGGTGCATGAGGCCAACAGGGACGGAATGGGCGTCAGCCCGGTCCACGTCCACACCCTGGCTGAGTCCTTCCATGAGATGGGGTTTGTGGCCTCTGAGACACGCATGATGTGCTTGGAGATTCCAGCTGGAGATCCAGATGCTGATAGAACACGGCAGTTCAATGTTGACTTGGTGACCAAAAGCAACAACAAGTACCTTGCTTCCGTTTCATTTCTTGAAAGCTTTGACCATTTGTGCAAAAGTCTGCAAAAGGCTATAAAGAAAAGGCTGCCAAAACAAAACACTATATAGAAAAAAAGGCTGCCAACAAAAGAACATGGTTGTTTCCATAAGTGTTTCATTTAAGGTTGGCGCCGGTGAAGGACGAGCTGCGCTTCGCTTCGGTAAGCGGCTCGCACAGCAATCAAGTGTTGAGGTTGTGGTACTATGGCTGCGACCACCAAAGCATGGGCAAGCTCAGCTTGGAACAACTTGAATCCAGGGACAAAGGGTATTTCAACGCTGTGGTTCAAGGCTGTGAGTGGGATGTGGTCAGCAGCCTGGTGCAGAAGACGTGCCCACGCTTTGCTGAGCTTGCGCAGGCAGCCGCAAATGCTGTTGGTCAACAGCAGCGGCCAGAGACGGAACTTCAGCTTTGCAGAAAGGTGTCGCAGCTCTGGACTGAGGAAGGTCGCAAGGCTGGTGGCAGCGGTCCGGTGGAGTATACGAAGATTGCGCCACACATCCTCAAGACCAAGCCACCGAATGGGGCGGTGCTCCCAGCGCTGTACAGCTTCATTTTGAAGGCAGGCGGTGGTTCAACGGGGCATCTCATGAAGCAAACTGAGGAGTATGTGCGTTGCTATGGCAACGCCGGACGCGCACTTGGCGTGCCACTTTGGGAAGCTTTGGGGTCCGACAACAAACTTCAGCCTCAGAAGAACGTGTTGTGGCGGCACGCATTGCTGAAGGCATTGTACTGCCATGAAGAGAGGTTGGTGTCTGCAAGTGATGTGAAGCGCAGTCTTTGCCAAAAAGAGCTTCAGCCTCGAGTGGCCCGCTTCGAGGCAATGATCGCGAAGATGCGGACCATTGGAGCATCGCTTGGCTCGAGTCATGGCTTGACTACTCACGATGTTGACATGACAGTGGGCACGTTTGAAGTCGAGTCCGTTGTCATCTTGCTGCAGAAGAAGCCAAAGGTGACACACGATGTGTATGAGGTCTTTGAGCACCTGGAGGAGGCCGCTCACAAAGTGATCAAGAGGTTGAGGGAGCAATCAGGGAATGAAGCGGTGACTTCTCCATGGGAAGCCTTTGTGCTGGCGTTGCCGGCAAAGACCGAGAGTGCTGCAGCCACGCAGGCTTCCAAGGCACAGACCAGGACCTTATAGTGGTGGATAGAAGATTGAAAAACATTATGACTAAACAAACAAAAACAGGTGTCCGCATGAAGTGCATGGATACACAAAGAACACTTTTGTAACTGTTGAAGGTTTTGAGAAGCGCTGTGAATATGTCATGTTATATACGTCCATGAATACACATGTCTTTCCTAAGTTGTGTACTGAGTGGGCAGAGCATTGTCTCGCCAAATGCAGGGCATTTGCTCGCATGCACATGTAGTGTTTGCAAGCTGTTTTGTCAGGATGCGTGAGTTTACTCCTTCTGGGCAGTTGGTTTCCACGGGCATCATTCAAGACCACGGGTTTCATGTGGGCGACAACATTTTCAGAAAGGCAGACAAGGTGTCGGGTGAGATTGTGCAAATGTTTTCGAACAACATCATTCTCAAGGGCACTGACGGGTGTGAATACACGTTGCCTGTCACAGAGCTTGTGTCGGGTGAATGGAAGCATGAAGCAAAGCAGCAGGCCCCTCAAGAGGTGAAGGAACCTGATGCTTGGCGAGCGGCCATTGAGGAAGGTGCCATGAAGGCGCAGGTTGTCCAAGAGATTTACGCTGCGGTGGAGAAGCTGCCTGATGTCACAAAGGATCTGGGCGCGATGCAGAAGCCGAAGGGAGTCATTGCAAAGACCGAGTTCGCGAAGCACAAGTGTGTATTGGTTCCAGTGACCACCAAGATTGAACTTGCGACTGACCCAGACAAAGCACCTGCAGCGTCTCCACAGTGCATCTTCCTTGACTCCCGCAAAACCAGTGAAGGGCACCTCGAATCAAACCTGATGTGTTGTCCTTTCAAACATAGTGCTGGATGCACATTGGTAGGCGGTTTAGGCCAGTGGAGGAAGGTGGTGTAAGAACCAGATATTAGAAGCAACAATCAAAGGCTGTAATTACTATAGAAGGTCGGTTGACCATGTAAGTTGCAGACTTGTGACCATTACCATTGCATGTTGCGTATGCAAGTATACAGACCACACATTCATAATGTTTCTCCGCTGCACGAGCTTGCGATTCAGGAAGAAGATTGATCTTTGGCTACAAGCTCCTGGGAGTTACCCAGTGGCATTTTGGCAGATGAAGACCTTCAGGAAGGAGGATGAATGCAACATGGAGATCTACAGGGTCAAGGGCAAAGTGGCGCATGCGCGCAACACAGTGGCCTTGAAGGCACAGGACACGTTGATCCTATGGCGTCCTGACATCACCGAAAAGGCTCCTTCACCTTTGAGCCTGGTCTCGGACAGGCCGGCCAAGAGAGTGAAGGCCCGAGCATCGGCGTGATCATGAACGTCACTCCTCGCAATCAAGGCAAGGTGGCCACGCAATGGTGGGCATCCGCGTGGAAGCCATGTGGCTTGTGGGCAGGGCACAACAATGTCCTTGTAAAGCTCACCTGACTTCGCTCCTGGCGGAGTCCAAAATGTGCTGACCTTTCATTGTGCAAGTGTTGGTGGCATTCATGCAAGGGCTCAACTTTTGTTTCGCAAGTTTTGTTGACATGCACGCATGGGCTCAACTTCAACCTCTAGTTTGCAAGTGTTGTGTATACGCAAGCATGGGCGTAACTTCTAGCTTGCCATTGTTGGCAAGCATCGTATAAACATGCATGCACATCCAAGTACCTTTGTATAGTACAATGCATGGACTATATATGCTTGGAGTGTATGTATGTCCTTGGGCATGTTGCAAGATCACACCCCTGCAGCTCCGCGCAAGGTTCATCCTCGAGAGAGGTTCATCCTCGAGCACGGTGGCCCGTAGAGCGGGAAGGAAGGGCAGGGCTGCTTGGCTCGCCTGGGCGCAGGGAACTTTTGTGTTCTCGCGCTCTGGCTCGTTGAGAGCTTGCGTGTTGAGTGGTGCACGGCCATTGATTGTGACAGTCATTCATTCATGCTTGACGAGGTTTTTGTCCAGGACAAACGTTATAGTGCCAGTCACGTGTCATAGATGCCAACAACTGCTCCAACTGCCAACAACTACAACACCATCCTGTGCCCAGGTCGAAAGCCAATTCTTTGCGTCGGGAAGCCTGACAGTCTTTCTTTCGTTTGTCGCAATGTCACAAGCAAGTGTGAACAACATAGAGTATAGAGGCATGTGACTGAAGTGGGACAACCGACCATTGAGCGCATGGTGAACTGCCAGTGTTGTTTCTATAATTTTCTATATACAGGCTTAAAGCCAGCAAAGCCACGGTAGTCCTGCCTTCATTTGTGTTGCGGCTTTCACTGTAGACATGTTGCTTCTTTGCTCGCTCAAGGATCCAGGCCAGTGCGCGGGGGGGTGAGAACTGCAGGGCTAAGCTCGCAGGGCGCCGTGCACATTCATGGCAGACTCACCTGCAGACGAAGCGCTTGGAGAAGAGGACTCCCAGCCAGTGGAGGAAGAGGACTGTGTCAATGAAGGGGACATGACCTGTACAATATCGTTGGTTCACCAGCTCAAGATTGGAAAAAATGTCATTTGGTATCCTGATGTACAACAAGTGCAGGGTGTTGACGGTGGCCTGTTCTTCAGACTCAGCAAGCATGATGCTGTTCTCACCCGAGTGGTGCTGGGGAAAGGGCTCAACCGACACAAGAAGGTGGGTGCAATTCGGACTTTGGCCAATCTTGAGTTGCGGGAGACTCTCCGAAAGCTGAGAAGGGAGGCCTGTGACGCCGCTTTGAAGCACCAGTTGGAAGAGGCGGCTGGTCAGGCAGTGGCCAAGTGCAGGGCTGCTAGGGATGATGACCGCTACCTTGTCAGCAAGAGTGTTGTGGTGAAGCTTCCAGGTGTTGCCACAGCTGGCTTCAGCTGTGATGAAAGAGATGTTCGTGCCCTATGGCAGGTGCGAGGTGATGCGTGGCTAGAGCTTTCTTCGGACATCGTGCTCCAGGTTGTGTGCCTATTGAGAGAAAGCCCAGTACAGAGCGCCAAGCCCAAGCCAAAGCCAGCCGCAGAGTGTCCAGGATCTCCAAAGACCCCACGGCGGAAGAGGAGAGTGAAGAGGCGCAGATCATGCTCTGTTGAAGACACAGCACCAGAGGCTGCAGCGGCAGAGGCAGAGGCACACGCTTCATGAGCGTGTGATGCAAAGTTGCAGGGCGCTGGTGTGATCACAACTGATGATCAGAGTGTGGTGGTGTGGTGGCATGTGGTGGTGTGGTGGCATGTGCGGATCAGCATGGTGACATGCACGTGGTGGTATGCATTTTCAGCGTGGTGGTATGGCCCACGCAAAGGGCCATGTACAGAGCACAGTGCTGAACGGTGACGCTGTGCTGAAAATTCATTGGACAGTGCTTGTAGCTGGACATGGTGGTGATAAGTTGTACTCTTCGCAGCTGACGCTTGCGTCAGACAGCGGCGATGTTCGTTGGACGCACTGTTGCAAGGTCGAACCCTATCTTCGAGAGGCCTATACATATCCGGGTTGGTGAGTGACATTGGGGCAGGGCGCATGCAGAGCTCGCCATTGCAGGGCTGTCCATGCTCGCAAAGTCAATAGAAGTCTTTACGCAATTCATGTGTTGAAGTGTTAGGCTTTTGACAGAGTCTTGTTTCAACAGTGCCTTTGTGGTGTTACATGGAAACGGTGTGTATTTTGCAGCCTCACAAATGGAGCATTGACTGAGTTTTTCGTCAAAGAAGGTTTCAAACTGTATCCGTTCGTTGTTTGCTGCAGGCTTGGATGGGATGCAAGAACAAGAGTGCGTGGGCCAAATGCATGCGTGGGACGCAGCAAAGGGGGTGCCACAGGAAAAAGCACTATAGTGTTTAGCGGTTGTTTTGAAGGCGTTTACAAGGCCAACAGAACAATTGACAGGGTGGAGGTGTTGGTTTCGAGAGCGGTTTCTGTCGAGATTCGTGCGCGAGAGTTTGAACATAGCGCACAACCCACATCAATTCACAGGACTGCACAGGTTTGGAGAAAGACTGTCAGACTCCATGCGCATGTATTTTCAGAGTCATGTTCAACCAGTTTGAGAGTCATGTTCAAGCATGTTTGCGCATCTGAACAATTACACAGGTCTTCGTGGGACAACCATTTTTGTGTGCTGCTTTGTGTGTCCACACTCCACGGCAAACAAAAAGTAGGGACAGGTGCGCTGATTTGTCAACTCCACAAGTTGGTATTTCTTGCGGTTTCAGAGTTTGTGCGCTTATGTTCGCAAAAGGTCACCGGAAAAAAATGGCGAGAGTTTCCCCTGCGGGGGAAAGCCCCCCATGTTGGATGTGAGTGCTATCTATTTGACGAACTTGTGGATCCACAAGTTGGCGAGGGTTGAACTTGTGGATCCACAATTTTTGGATATCTCCAGTTTCAGGAATTTGTGGATCCACAATTTGGTGATTGTTGAGTTTGTGCGTCCACAAGTTGGAGAGACTTGAAGTTGTGTATAGGGATTTGTTGAGGCTACTCTACAGGTTGATGGTTGCATGTCTTGTAATTGTTGCGACTCCTTTGGATTCTCTGGAAGGAGTTTGAGACTTCATGAGTGACACCACTCCCAACAGCTTTTGGGTTTCTCCTCCTTTCGTTTCATCCGTCTGAGGCCGTCGACTGGAGCACATGTTCGACTGGAGGCATGGCAGGGAGGGCGCAACGCCTATCTCGCCACGCACGCAGGGCATTGCTCGCGAACGGGATTGACCAAGGGTCAAACCAAGGATCAAACCAAGGGTCACACCCAGGGACTCGACGGGCTTCATTTATATATTGGATTATATTGGGTTTTCACCATAACATACAGGGCATTGCTCGCGAGGGTCGATTCTGGTGTCAGAGTTCATTGAAAGTGTTGCGTGTTCCTTTTACTTGCTACAGCATGTTTGTGTGTCATGGTTGGAAGGCACACGCTGAGGCTCAAGGGTCACACCAAGGCTCATACCAAGGCTCTCGATGGGTTTAAGTAGAGGTTCACTGCTACTGCACAGCTGCATCATCTCTATATAGAACTCAATGTCATGCGCTAATGCAATGCTTAATCCAATGTTTCACCTTCTGTTAAACCAGGGTTGTGTGCAAACCAAGGTTTCCGCAGGGTCAGTGGGTATTGAATGTTGTTTGCAGAGCAACGGATGGCTCAAGATGACCGCAGGCGTCCGGACATTTCAATTGCACTACAACATTCTATAGAGAACTATAGGGAACATTTGTACACCTTTCTTTCAATCTCAACACTACCGGGTCAGAGACGTGATTGCACATACATCAGCGCCATTCTTGTCGGTTGCCATGGCAGAAAAGGATGGCAATAGCGCTGGGAATGGCGCTGCTGAAGCTGACACTGCGACCACAGACCCCTACATCGTAGATGCAGATGAGTTTGGACCTCCTGAAGCTGTTCACAGCAGCCTGTCTTGGATTGAAGTGTCTTGGAGCGCCGCGTTTATATAAAATATAGATTTCGCATTGCGAGATAGTATATCCATATAAATTGTTTTGACGTGCTGGGACATGTTTGGCACGTTAGGTTCATGAGAAACCAACCAAACAATGTTGCAATACATGTTTGAAGGTGTCAAGTGTTGACAACCAACAAGGTGAAGAACATTCAGGAATCGCAGCCACAAGCGCATCACTTCCTACACGCGTCAAGGAGGAGGCACAGGAAGAAGAGGCGGAAGTGGATTACTGGACGCAAGAACAATGGGTTGAATACTACAGTTCTTGGGATGGCTGGGCATGGGAAGACTGGGAGACAAAGGCTGAGCCCGAGGAGGACTTTGATGCACAGCAACCGGAAGATGAAGCTGAGCCAGAAGTGGAGTGGGACTACGTGGAGGATTCAGAGGAGGAGGACGCGGCAGCTGCTTCGAAGCCCGCAGTGCCGATCAAGGCCAAGGCGCGCCCGCCTGAAGAGCCGCCAGCAGGTGCACGGCCCTTCGGTGTGACGCCTCCGCCACCTCCGAATAGGAAGACTGCGCTCCTGCCGCCTCCTCCACCACCTCGTCCAGTTCTGCCAGCTGCAGCGGTACCGCCACCGCCCCCGCCTGCAGTGGCGCGTCCACCTGCGCCGTGGAAGCGGTCACCATCGCCGGAGCCGGACTCATCGTCTTCCAGGGGTCCATCGTCATCTTCACACAGAGGCAAAGGTCGGTATATAGGAGGCGGACATGGCTATGTGTTGCCTTCCGGCCAGTATTCTGCGAGCCTTGCTCATGCTTTGTACGTTTTGTTGTGATGTATGTTGACGTGACCATGCGCAGCACTCCAATGGAACATATACAATATACACTCCTTCCATGTTTGTGACATGCACCAATGCGGTTGGATAAATACACCATGATCCAAT